CCCGGGATTGAACCCGGACCACAAGGAGTTCGTCACCCGGTCTCCGCGCAATCCGGTTTAGCCAACTACGCTAGAGAGCCGGGCCATGTGGCTGTCGTGAAATGAATGATATCACGTGACTCACACTGTCGTGGTAATCTCCTATTCGGTGACAGCTGGTTTCTTTGGCTAAGCTACAAAATGGATTTCAACAGGTCATTGCGTGAAGTCATTGGTTTAATTAATATCTAGGGCTATTTCACTGGTTACACACGCATTCTGTTTGTTATCACGTGTTTGTCCACATTGTTGTAGGTATAGATTTGATCGGGGATCAAGGAGACACGAAGCAACGTAAACATGTTGTAGGGCAGGAGTGGGGATTTGACGTTGTCAGATTTGTTTGCTGTGATATTGACAAGATGTACATCCCTGCATTGTTCTTTCATTGACACACATGAAGGATGGTCAGTCTTGTGATGTGTTGTGGACAAGAAGTACATCCATGCATTGTTCTTTCGTTGACACACATGAAGGATGGTCAGTCTTGTGATGTGTTGTGGACAAGAAGTACATCCATGCATTGTTTTTTTCATTGACACACATGAAGGATGGTCAGTCTAGTGATGTGTTGTGGGCAAGACGTACATCACGTGTTTGTCCACATTGTTGTAGGTATAGATTTGATCAGGGATCAAGGAGACACGAAGCAACGTAAACATGTTGTAGGGCAGGAGTGGGGATTTGACGTTGTCAGATTTGTTTGCTGTGATATTGACAAGATGTACATCCATGCATTGTTCTTTCATTGACACACATGAAGGATGGTCAGTCTTGTGATGTGTTGTGGGCAGTATGAGTTCGGATGCTGACAGCATTGTACATGATGCAGTGCTAGGTTATTGTTAATTCATTTTGGGAAGAGAAGCTCATGGATGCCAAAACATTGGATCAGAAAACCAAGAAATCAACATCAGGATAGGCAAGACAACAGTAACAAAAAAGATTTTAAAAAAGTTTAGGATAATTAAAAAAAACATGTTTAAAAAAAAAAAAAACAGACTATATGAATCCTGTTTACCAGCTTTCCCCTTTATGCTAGTGACAGCTAGTCGATTCGTACCAGCTGGCAGTGTAAACAGCTTTGTTGTTGTTGTTGTTATCGATCCAGCGGCGCATGAGCTTTCGCCCTTTGGCCCAATGCCATGTAGTGGAATTTGCATGTTTTCACAAGCTGTTCTTTTCCTCCGTACAAGGTGTTCCACTTGTCTGGTCTCGGAGGGAGTAGCGTTCTTCTTGTCTCACTGAGTTTTGGGCACTCAAAGAGATGGTGTTCAACAGTTTCGTAGGGGTAGTTACATAGCTGGCACTCTGGGGAGTGTTGTGGCTGTATTCTGTTTAGGTGTCCATTGAGTGGAGTATGTTGCGTTCTAAGTCTGAAGATGGTGGCCTGGTCCCTTCTTGTTAGATGGTTAATGCTGTCATTAGGATCAGGGCCAGACATATGTCTATAAACCTCTCTTCCAGTGTCTCCCATGGCCCATCTGTTCAACCAAGTCTCTTTGTTTATAGCTCTTATCAGTGTTTTTGCTGTCTGGAGGGTTGTCGCTGTAGGTGGTTGTTCTTGTGTTGCTCCTTTCTTTGCCAATCTGTCAGCTCTGTCATTACCTGGTGTGCCGGAGTGACCTGGAATCCACTGCATCACTATTCTGATGTTGTATGAGGTAATAAGATGATCGGCATCCAGGATTATCTTGGCTATGTCAGTTCTGCAGCGTTCATTGCCCTCCAGAGCTTGAAGGGCAGACATTGAATCTGTAAAGATGACAATATTTTGGACCTTTGAGGGGTAAACATCCATTACAGTCTTTAGGTGGTATACTGCTGTTTCCAGTGCAATTATTTCAGCTTCATAGTTTGAACAGAATTCCCCGCATGCATCAAAAATCTCTTCAACAGATCCATCGGGATAACCTATGTAGATTCCGTAACCTGCTTTAATGGTAGCTTTAAATGCTGATCCATCAGTATAGACATGTATCCATTCTTGGGGGTAAGAATCAAGTAAACAGCTTTCATATGCTATGCCAAAGCAAAATACTTGACTTCATGTCTGTCTGTCTGTGTGTGTGTATGTATGTATGTGTGGCGTACCTAGTCTACTGTGGAAACCCAACCCCTAGATCATATTCGTTGGAATAGTCGTATCCGTTAACACAACATAGGTACGTGTGCCCGTACATATGCACACCCGTGCACATGAATATACTAAACCATGCATTGTTTAATCTCTGGGCACAACGGTCACTGTCCTCCTGCCAACATTCATCCTAATCTGTACAGAACGCCTCCACTGTTATTAGAGAGTTTGGCAGCGTATCTTTTCCCTGTTAATGTTTTATTTTTTAAAAACAGTAGTCATTAGAGACCAGGATGACAGGCCTCTGTTCCAGGGCTTCATGATCGCAGGAGGCCGTACAGATGCAGATCGCTGCCTGTCTCATTGATTTTGTTTACAGCCTCTTTCTCTCCCCCTCTCTCTCTCTCTTTCTTTTTTTTTTCTCTCTGCGTGCGTTGTTTCCCTCTGTGCTGTCCCCCACCCTAACAATCCAAGGTTACACGTGAAACAAATAGCTTCTGCTACTTTCATTTAATTCGAGTGTTTAATGTGGGTGCTATTAGATTTTCAATTTCATCTTAGCATTTATATGAGGTTTTCCCAAAAAATATTGTTGTCTGCTATATATATATATGTGTGTGTGTGTGTGTGAGGTCGAATTTCTTTTCGGTTATTTGTCTGATTTTTAAAAAACAGTTTCTTTGTCATCTTTTAATACTCATTAGGGTTTTCCTCCTGTGTGATTAATTTGTCCTTATCCCTGTCTGTCGGCTGCAAGACATTTTTAGACTAGCTTGTCATCTAAGATATTGTCATTTATCTTATCCTGAACATCTGGGATATTGTTATATATCTTATCTTGAACGTTACAATATGGAGGGGGAAAAAACCGAATGCGGGATATAAATGGCGTTGTCCAAATATGTTATTCTTCCTGGTTAGATATTACTTGTTTGTGTTTAAGGTCGCCTTTTTATCTCCGTGTGGGTTTGGGGGGGGGGGGGGGCGGTCACGTAACAAGCGTGCGTACCGTAAAAGACAACTTTATTACTTGCCGAAATCGGTTGTGATTGACCAGAAGGCGCAGATATCGCAGCCGAATAGTTAACCACAACATAACATGCCAACCGTCTTTTCTGTGGCATTGGGAGAAGTCGCCTTTATGACATGTGCGTACAGATCTATGGGCCGGAGGTGTTTGAGCCTCTTTTTATGACTCGTGGCTCACTAACTACACAAGAAGAGACAGGGTTACGAATACCAGCATTAAAGCGAAAGTCGGAATAAAACCATGTCTGGATTATATTGACAAAGAATGAAATGGTTCAGCCAGCTAATTAGAATGCTGCCAGACCAAACTGCATATGAGACTTTTTACAGCAGACCATCTGGGAGGGAGGCGAGGGAAAGACCGAGAAAGAGATGGATAAATGGTGTATCAGAAACCTGCAAAAAGATGAACGAATCCATCATCTAAGCCAGCAGAAAAGCACAAGACAGATACAGAAAACCACGACTCTGGGCTACAAGATGTTATCATCGAGACGACAAAAGAATAAAGAAGATGCATGAGATTCTATGCTAAGTGGCACTAGTATATATACACGCAAATAGGTTGACTTTATTGCCTGCTTGCTTACATAGTCGCTCTTCGTCTACCCTGGGGTAATTTGGTAATCCTAGTTTCAGCTTCAAAGCAAACGGGTCACCCCATAGTTGCTCCGCTGCTGTGCCAACTAAAAACACACGTAGCTTACAGTGTCACGCCATGCACTCAACTCAGAAGCTGGGCGACGAAACTATATCCTTCCAGTCTACAAATGGAGCAAAAGTGCAACGGCCACCGTCTGGCAGAAGCAAAAAAAAAAAAATCATTTGCCACGGCTTAAAAAAAAGATGGCCGTGCCTAGCGTCCATTTTGACCTGAATCCAGACCCTGGGGTGTAGAGGTTTGCCAGAGAGATCGCCAGGCTTCACTATCAACAGTTTTCTGCTTGGCTTTGTTCCATTCGAGTGCTGTGTCAGTCATTGACTGTGGGATGTTGTCTTCCCATCGAACAGTGGGTAATTGTGGTGGCCGAGTCTCTCCCATTCTGCATGCGTGTCCAGACCTTCGTAACTATGACTGATCCACTTGAGTTTGTAAAGCCTGGGTTTCCAGGACGTGATGTGTTGTCTGACTGTGAACTTTGTCCTTTCTTGTCACTTGGACCACCTTTCTGCGACTTGACTGCGCCAGGTCTTATACCAAAGTGCTTGGTCTCTCTGCACCGAGAGCGTAGAACATCCAACGTCGACCCTTAGGGATTTCCAAAACTGCTTTGGCAAACAGCTTAATTATATGGCCACAGACCTCTTATATGTGCACATAAACTTGGCCCTCCAATTTTCCAGAAAAAATCACATGGATTATTTTTCACGCTAGTGGGTATATAGGGCTAGATCTATAGTTTATAGACCAATCGGCGCTTGGTGGGCGGTCAGCATCACGTCGCTTTTACTGCCCGGGACTATACCTGGTAGCCTCTCAAGACTGGGTCGATATGGGAGCTTAGGTAATTAAACAAAAATTCATGGTCCGTCAGCACCCAGCAAGCGTATAGCCGTTATACAACGGAGGCTAACCCATATTTCCTTGTTAACCCTCCCAGTATTGTAGTACTTCTAGTGCAGCTTGTATGGATGCCGCTGCTTGAACCATATCCAACCCCGTTTCCTGTCTGTGTAACGCTTGGCTGGTGAGGCTGCCGTGCATTAGGGTTTGTCCGGGGCCGGACAGACTTGTCGGAGTTCTAATCTAAGATAATCTATTTCAGTCTGCAAGCAGGACCGTGTGCTGGTGCTGGCTGTACCCCGGGGTTGTCAGACCTGATGTTTGATAACAACCGCTGACGTTACCAACATGAGCTTCAGCAGCGATGAGGTCAACTTTCTGGTCTACCGTTACCTGCAGGAATCAGGTATGTCCTTTAGCTACATTACATTGTTGGTTCATGATGTTCATGTTGGTTTACTGTATCAGAAAAAAAACTCGTTACTCCAGTTAGGTACCAAGCAGCTCATTATGGAGGAGGTAAGCGCATCGGAACCTGAGCTCCCCCTCCCACTCTAATCTACCAATTAATTTCATTCTTAGTATTTTGCGTGCTATCCTGTTGTGGGCTCTGGGACCCTGCTGGAAAGGGGGAGGGGACCCACTGTCCCATAACAAGCATTTCGTGAAAGACCAGTTAGGGATGTATTCTTCAAAGTCGGAGTGCATCTGCTTGAGAAGTCAGGAACTAAGTTTAAACATACATCAGCCAGATCTGTTTAAAAAATCAGAGTCCAGAAGTGGGCGAACAACCAGAAGATTCAGCCGAAGTTTACAGCTGGTGATCACAAAGCTCCCATCACCCTAAACAAAAAATTTTTTTTTTGTCCTAGTAACGTGTGTGAATGACTCTTCCCATTTAAGTCTAACCAACACGCCCAGCTAATCACACCTTGTAGATCTGGAAATAGCACACAAAGGAAATTTTGCTTCTGACTGGCTGAGTGACCTATTACCCCAAAAGGACATCACGTGAAACGTAACATGGCGACAGCAGAGATAAAATGCCTTAGAAGAGCTGCAGGAGTTTCAATGAAAGACAGAATACGAAATTAGACGAATGCTATAAATAAAGCAAGTCTTACAGGTCATCGAAGAGCAACAAGTAAAGTGGTTTAGACACCTAACAAGAACGCCCTGGTACTGTCTGCCACGGCGAGCCACTCTAAAGCGTTACAACGGGTATAGAGCGAGTAGAAGACCTCGGAAACTATAGAGTGATGGTATTGAGAACAGCCTTACAGAAATGAACATCAGCCTTATTAGTGCTATTGACAGAGCTCATCAACGAATGTTACATCTCCCACCGACACTTCGCTGAGGTACAGGGTGGAAGAGAAGAAGAAGAAGGACATCACATTGAGTGATAAACACCATGTATCATAAAAATCCACCATTTTGACGAGGATCGCCCGTGTAGAGGTCCTAGAAACCCCGTTCAACCGTTTGGTTATATTAGGGCCCCCAGCAACAACCAGGGTGGGGTTTCAAAATAAGAAAAATTCGCCCCACATGAGGACGGAGAGTGTTTTTGCTTCTGCATTGCTTGCCTGTGTGAAAGTTGTGCTATTAAAACTAGTTACAGTAAATGTTCCATGCTTGGTAACTACTGAAAAATCTTCTGGGATTGTAAGAAGAAAAGTTTTTTGGGATTGTAAGAATTAATGAAATATTTGGTACACGTAACGTTAGTCTCCTCACATCCCGCCCATATACACACTAGCTCACTTCTGATTGATAGTTCCGGAACCTGTCACCTTGGCACGGGGGTGTTCCGCAATGCCGTTGATATCGCATGTTGTATATTTCAGCACGCCAGCACTTTTAACACTGACTGAACCGCAGCCCCGTCTTTCCCCCTCACCCTCAGTGATTTGTTTGTGTCAGTGACTCTGGCAGGAGGTCATTCACAGAACGTCGCTCCCATCACGGCCCGTTGGAAAGAAACGCAAACTCCTGCCAGCTTGCCCAGCCTTCTCTTGCATTTTCCGGCTTTAAGTTTGTCCTGTGCCCTCACCTTGGCGCTGGTCGGCCTTCGTCTCTGTTTACCAATACTATGGCCTTCATTACTGTTCTTTCCAGGCTATTGCGATGTTTGATTTGCCCAAAGTATTTCATTTTCTGAGATGTTGTTTCTTTTTCTGCCTTTCTAGCTCCCAATGAAGAAAAGCCACCAACCAACTCACACCAGGTCGTTCTATATTTTGCTATCGCATGCAGCTCTCCCCATGTCCTCCCATCTTTCTAACTTCATTCTTCAGCTTCCTTCGCCGTGTTTTTTTTTTTTTTTTTGGGGGGGGGGGGGGGGGGGGGGGGGGCTTTCTTTATTCCTATGCTCCTGTAGGTTCCAGTGCCAAGACATCCTAGTTATATTGTTCTCCGGTTCTCTTAATGGGTCCTGTCCAAAGCCAGCGCCTTTTCTTCACCTTTGGGTCCACTGGAGCTTGCTTAGTTCTCTCCCAAAGCTCTACGCTAGTGATTCTATAATACAATTTTAATTCCTTTTATTCTGCGTAGGCATCAGCCAACGAATGTCTGTAGTTTTTTTTTTAGTAATTGCCTTAGTTGTTCTCCGTGTTTCCGCTCCATACAAAAGTACTGATTCGACATTAGAATACAAAAAAAAATTAAGTTTAGAGATGTTGTTTACGTGCTAGTTTTCCTCGTATCTTTTAGAAAATCTCTCTCCACCCCCACCCCTCATCTTCTGAGAATGGTTCTGTTAGACTTCAGTTGAAACCTAGCAACTTAATTTGCATTTATTGGTAATTTGTTCTGTTATATGATTGCCATTACGTCTTTTATTTCACGCATCACTGACCGGACGTACCACGTTAGCAATGTAAAAGCGACGAGAACATACGCTATATAAAGCGTTAAACCTTTACACATATTACAACGGTGACCTCCCGCAGTAGATCTACTGCCAGAGGTCACGGTCACAACTAAGCATCCTACTATAGGAATGTCTTTCTAATAGGTTAGTGCAAAATTCCTTCTACTTCATTTTCTTTATTTTCTCCTTTTTTCCCCCAGACTTCTGTCAGAAAACTTATATCAGGAGGCCGGTAGTCTTGATGAAAGCTATTGTGAAATCCATATATCCCCATGTACCATGCAGCTTTGCCTTCTTTGAGACTGAATCGGACCCCATCGCTTCTCTGTTGGCAGCCTACAGTTCACATTGTTGAAGTCCCCTCGGCATTTACTGGTGCCACGCTGCAGCCTCACACGTCTCCGTGTTTCCTACACTGAGAAATTTGAACACATGTTGGCGAAGTCTGTGGTGCCCTGTCCTTAGTCTGAATATAACACACTGTCCCTCTCTCGATAAATGATGAAGCCAGCTGTCTTTGATACTAGACTGTATAAACATCTCAGTCTCTTGGGTGTTAGTGAACGCACCGCAGACAGTCACGAGTAATTGCTTTTATTCATGACTTTTATATGCGGCAGGGTGTATCGACTTGTTCATTATTATTTATTAGTGAACATTATACACACACACACACACATCTACTACTGCATTCAAACAGTATGTCGTGTTAGTTTTAAAAAAAAATGACGATTCAGTCACGGCCGCCTTCCATATAGGACAGGAGGCTGGCTGATGGCGTCAGCGTGACGTGACGTCACCACCCTGGGTTGACGATACGAAATAAACAACTTTCAATGAGACAGCCTTGGCAAATAGAGTGACCATAAGTCCCGTTTTCACTCCAACAGTCCCGTGTTTTTTTTTCCCGGTGTGTCCCAGCCGTTCCCTGAGTACTCCCCAAAAAATGCTAGGAATATTGAAGATGGACGTGCTTGAGCGCACGCTGTCCTTAATGGCCCCGTTTCTTTCATGTCAGAGTTAATGTTTTCTGTATTCTCCACATCAGTTAGTATTTCTGTAAGATAGCTAACAGGTCCTTCTCATTGCATACCGAACTTTTTAGCCCATAAGTGCCGGTGACATCATTTTAGTATATTCATCTACCTGTGGCATTTCAGGGCCATTTCTTGTTAGCTTTCAGGTATTCCCTCCACCCACTCCATTCCCCGTCTCCCCCCCCCCCCCCCGATGAAGGTAGTAGTAGCGACAGTGTTGACAGTAGTAGTAAGTGACAGTAGTAGTATCGATAATAGTAGGAGCCGTTTTAATTGTAGTTGTTGATATGATCTCTAACACTGAATTTATGTCACTGTAGATATTAATCTCTGTCATGGCTGTACAAAACCCTTTGTTGCCTTAATAAATCCTTTCCTTTCTAACTTTGCAGGTTTCCTCCATTCTGCATACACGTTCGGCATCGAAAGCCACATCAGTCAGTCAAACATCAACGGGGCATTAGTGCCGCCAGCGGCTCTTCTCAGCATCATTCAGAAGGGATTACAGTACACGGAGTCCGAGATAAGCATTGGCGAGGTGAGCACAGGATTGATGTCTTTTCGCTGCATCTGTTCCGTACCTTTGTTTTGTGTCATTCTTCAATCCACTGGCGTACGCACGATGCTTGTTATTTGTTTACGTGTAGAATTTAAAGTATGCAGTATATACTTAAAACCCCACACGCGAGCGGATAAATACGTTTGATATAGGAGTGGAAGCAGGATTTGGGTGGGGGGGGGGGGGGGCGCTTCAAGTCGTATTTAATTATTATTGTTATTTAAATAATGTGGACACAAACAATACATTTCATAGTTTATTTCCTGTCATTTTTTTTTTAAATTTACAACGGGACTACATTATTTTGAATTATTATTATTATTATTATTTTGTGCTAAATTGCAAACAAATAGAATCGTATATTTAAAGAATGAGAAATTAAGATGTATACACAAATATATAAAAAGAGAACATCTGTACTTGGTGGGTATGTGGTCCACTTGCAGTGTTTTTTATGGAGGGTTGGGGGGGGGGGGGGGTGTTCTCAGCATCGAGGCTTAGGCGCTGTGTGACTAGAGATGGATGGGGGCACAGTGTGTGTTGTGTACCTAGTCTACAATGACAAAGCTATCCCCGAATTTTCTTTGCAGTAAATGATTCTGTTGGCGCACCATACTATATATGATACATACATACATACATACACACATACATACATACATACATACATACATACATACATACATACATACATACATACATACATACATACATACATACATACATCTTCCTAATACTTACATTACATACTTACTTACGTTACAGACATAATTACATTACACACATTTATACATGCATATGTACATGCATAGGTACATGCACATGTACATACATACATACATACATACATACATACATACATACATACATACATACATACATACATGTAGATAAATACACAGGTGCCTACATAAATATACATTTCCTTGCCTTTTTTAATCCACGAGCTTAAGTGCCTGGGCCTGGCAGTTCAGCACCCCTGAGAGGCTTTCCCCCCCCCCTCCCCCCCCCCCCCCCAGTATTCTAGAGTGCGAGGCTGGGGGTGTCCCAGACCATGTATAGACGTTCTCTTTTTAAATTACTTGTTTTCACAATTCTTCTTCTCATCTTCGACATTTAGATCCTTTGGGGTTCATTGCTGCAGATAGCATCCGTTTCCATCTATCACTCTGGTTGGCCTTCTCTCTCCAGTTAATGACATCTAAGTCTTTATATGTTTGCGTGTATATTATACATCTAAGTTTTTGTTTTCCAGATATATTATTATATATATTTGCCACGTAGCAATAGTAATAATATTATTATTGCACACTGAAGCAATTCTTTTTCTTTGTGTTCACCGGCTATAAGCTCCAGTGGAATGTTCTAGGTGTTCGTCCATCCTTGCACTCACTTTAGCCTTGCTCTAGAACCAGTTGCATGTTACAGATCTGGCTTATTTGAATGCAGACTCTTAGTTCCTTGCCTCTCCGACAGATGTACTCTAACTTCATGTGGTATTAGTTAAGATGCCCAGATACTCTAGCATGGTTGGCTGATTGCTAAATCCTCTGGAAGACAGGGTTTCACTTGTAAGCCCGGTGTGGCGTAGTTCTTTTTCTTCTGCCTTTCTATCCCCCAATGGAGCATAGGCCCTCAACCAACTCACGCCAAGTCGTTCTATCCTTCGCCATTGCATGGAGCTCTCCCCATGTCCTCCCAATCTTTCTAACCTCGTTCTCCAGCTCTCTTCTCCATGTGTTTTTTGGCCTTCCTTTATTTCTAACATTCCAGGTGCCAATTCTGGAGGTTTTCCTAGCTGAGAGGAGGTACGTCAACGATCCGGACTCCTTACGGCTTTCTCCACACCGTGTCATACTTCTTCTATTTGAAGAGCCTCCCCTTATCTTGGTTGGCTGGATTTTATTTGCTTCTCTTTTTGACTTATCCATGGTTGATTGGTTTTTGTGGCTATGGTTTTTACAGGATGAGGTAGCCAACCTCAAGCCCAACCCTACCCTTAGTCGCCTTATACGACATGCCTGGTAGGGTGCAGTGTCACTATTCTTTGCTTCCCGTGAGGGCCCCGGTGACACACGGGCGGGCGTAGTTCTAGCTGCATATAAAGGCAACTGAATCTAGGGAATACTTGTGAACCGACTTCTTACCCGTCCCGATGTTGAAGTATCATCTTTAGGGATTTTACGTTGCACAGCCCTGCTTCCCACTCCGCAAGTTCAGAAATTAGACTGTGCAAGAGTGGTACTGAAATTCTACTGCATTTAAGTAATCAGGACAAATAATTCTCTGTCATAATAAGTACAGTGGTTATAAGCATTTGCAATGGTTTCCGAAATCGATTTTAAAGTGCATTGTGTTTTTTTTTTGTTAATATGTGTGTGTGTGTTAAAAATCGTAGGCGCAGATAGATTCTTACTGTCTAAGGAGAATTGCGCTTCGGGGAGTTACTAGGGGATTTGGCCGACGCTTAACAGTTAGGGAAAGGATGAGAAAGATATACAATCAGACGGTTACTGGTACCATCGGAATTAGAACTCTTCGCTTGCTGCTGAAGATGGGGACGGAGTACTTATGGGAGTGTCCTGAGTGCTGTGATGTCGATTTTTTTTCTTCAAAATTCAACAACATTTTGGCTGCTGCATCTGCATACATACACGCAGTAACTGCATCAGCAGCCTTTAGAAGTCTCAGAACAAACAGTTTTGTCCTATAAATGTAGTTCGTCGTGGATGGTAGCAGCAATTACAACAGATCAGTAGTTGCACACGCAGTTAATGGCATCAGGCACCCTTAGTTCTCTGGCAGCAGACCATTTTATTTGAATCTGCTGTTAACAACACAAACCATGTTGTGTCCAGTCGAAAAACATTCCAAATTAAATCCGCAGCCCACGGTGTCGCGGCATGCATTTAACTTCTTTCAGCTTGCATCCTCATATGGAGGAAAACGTACGAGCTAGCTGGTATAAAAAGCAAAATCTTGCCATGACTAAAAACTGTAAACCTATCTATCCGCCGTATTGACAATAGTCTGTAAGAAGAAGTTACGTGGACGAGAGTGTCACATTGACAAGTTTGTATCTCGTATAACAGGACTCTACTTGGGTAGATGATCACCGATTCAGATGTTATTGCAGTACTGGCAAGGTGTCCCTCTCTAGTGGTCAGTCCAGTCGTGCAGTACTGGCAAGGTGTCCCTCTCTAGTGGTTAGTCCAGTCGTGCAGTACTGGCAAGGTGTGCCTCTCTAGTGGTTAGTCTAGTCGTACAGTACTGGCAAGGTGTCCCTCTCTAGTGGTTAGTCCAGTCGTGCAGTACTGGCAATGTGTCCCTCTCTAGTGGTCAGTCCAGTCGTGCAGTACTGGCAATGTGACCCTCTCTAGTGCTCAGTCCAGTCATGCAGTACTGGCAAGGTGTCCCTTTCTAGTGGATGTTGTGGCGATCCTATAATACAGCTCCTCATGTTGTGGCGATCCTATAATACAGCTCCTCATGTTGTGGCGATCCTTTAATACAGTTCCTCTTGTTTTGGCGACCCTTTAATACAGCTCCTCATGTTGTAGCTATACTATAATACAGCTCCTCATGTTGTGGCGATCCTATAATACAGCTCCTCATGTTGTGGCGATCCTATAATACAGTTCCTCTTGTTTTGGCGACCCTTTAATGCAGCTCCTTATTTTGTAGCGATCCCAAACCATAACAATTATTTTTGTCGCTACTTTACAACTTCATGAATATTATTTCTTCGATGGTCTTTGGCGACCCCTGCGAAAAGGCCGTGACCCACTGGTTGAGAACCGCCACATTAGGGGAATGTGTTCACGATGGAGGTTAGTGACACAGGCACCGGAAACTTGGGGTGCTTCAGGTAGTTTGTCTACCCCTCCCCCTTATCCGGAATCTTTATTTTTGGCCCCCTTACGCAACCATATATAAATGTTCTATATATTTTACTTTTAATATATATTTTAAATATATTATTTTTATTTGCCATTCAGCACCTGATATAATAATTCTTATTATATAATAAAACAAGGCCCTCTGAAGAACACAGCTGACCTGACAGTCCATTAATTCAAGGTGTGCTGTTGTTTGGTGTTTTTTTTTTTTTTTTGAGTGTTCATCTAGTGTCTTCTAATCCTAACCCTAACGCTAAACTTGGCTGTAGAGAAATCGCGAGAAACTACAACCTGAACACCCTAGAATTTATTGGGAATGTCTCCCGTTACGTTGTCGTGACGTCAGGGGTAAGTTATAAATTAAGTACCCAATATTTAAATCTGTTTACTTTTACAGATTTTATCTGGTCTTTGTGTAGCGTTTTTATCTATCTCTGTGCGGTTCGCGTTTGTGGCTGAGGCGTTGAGACCGCGTTTCGCAATGCCCGGGTTCAATTACAGCTGCGGAAGATTTGTTTTGCGCTGGTTTCGACAGTGGTACCGAGAGCTGACCGTTCATAAATCACTGGCAAACTACTGAAGGTAAAATTTGCGTAGAAAAACCACAACAGCCAAACAAAATGCGAGGGTTGGTTCTGCAAGGTCGTGAAAATGATACGCAACTAACTTAGCTCTACTATGTATACTTCTGCGAAATAAAGATGTGCGCAGGCGGGACACGAGTGATACACGTACGGAGGTAGATTCATGAGGGGAGGGGGGAGAAAGAGAGAGAGAGAGAGAGGGTGGGGGCGTATTGCGTGGAGCGGACGGAAACTGTTTGGTCTGGGCATGCTAAATAAATCTGGTTTAATGTTTTCGTACCGTGTCTGTTGTATCTGTGAAAGTCATTTACGCGTCTTTCACAGTGCTAACTGTGCCAGATTGGGGATTTGCTATGAAAGCACCTAGAACTAAAGTATGGGGATGAGAACAATGTGTGGGGAGTGAAGAAAAGGGGGGGGGAGAGAGCTGATGACAGCAGAAAGCGGACAGGTAAGCTTCTGAAAAAAAAAAAAAAAACCTCAACACATGTGACAG